ATTAAATGTGTAAATTGCTTTTGGTAGTATTGCCATTTTCACAACATTGAGTCTTCCTATCCATGAGCAAGGGATATTCTTCCACTTTTCAAGATCTCTTGTAGTAATGTTTTATAATTTTCTTGGAAAAGGTCCTTTGTACTTCTGGTTAAATTTATTGCCAAGTATTTAATCTTGTGATTAGCTATTGCGAAAGGTATTGTTTCTCTTAGTTCTGGCTCTGTATTCTTTTTGTCGCTGTAGAGAAATCCAACTGATTTTTGTGTGTTGATCTTGTATCCTGCTACTTTGCTGAATAATACCCAGTCTTAAAAACTGAAATTAAGGCATTGAAACACATACTTAAATGTCCTGTTAAGCCTTTTTGAGGTGGCTTGAATGGCTAGAAAGGGTGGGGTTTCATATAGAAGACTTGAAATATTGAGTGATTAATATATTAGGTCTGAAGAGTTCGAGAGGATTTTTTCTTTTATAATTTCCAAAATGAATATTCTGTTCTACATTATTATTTGACCACAGAATAATGATGATAATTAAGGAGATAATGTGACTGTCCTACATTTTTAGTCCTTGAAATGCAGTTGTCCAAGAGAGGGTAAAATCCTTTTAAAACTGAAGCTTCAGAAGTATTTAAGTTACCTGTTTTGCTTTGCTCCTCTTTTTCCCGTGAAAGCATCACTGATATAGAGGTCTTTTCCTCTCCAGGGTGTAGATTCTGATGTAGAAACACCAGCAAACTTTGGAAAATACTTGGAGTCTTTTCTTGCTTTCACAATCCACCCAAGTCAGGTAAGCTTTATGCAGCTAACATCTCAGAAATAGAAATCAAAACCAAAGCACTATAGCCTAAAATAATAATAAATTATACATAAATTGTGACTTTCTAATTATTTTGAGTGAGTGAAATCCAAATCCTTACTCTTGAGTTGTCTTTTTTCCCCTTTAGTTTTTACGCTCTTCAACTCAGATGACTTGGGGAGCACTGTTCAGACATGACATCCTATCGCGTGATCCTTTGCTGTTAGCAATAATACCAAAGTATCTTCGTGCTTCTATGACTAACTTGCTGAAGGTGGGTAATGGGAACCTAAGAATGTGGAATGCAGATGAATACAAATAATTGGCATATTTGTTGCTAATATTCCTATCTTGGACATATTCTCTCTCCATAATGGGAAAAAAGCAGTTTATACTGGTTATATATTTTATATTTTAGAACACTTAACATATCCGTTATTAACTATATGATAAAGAAAAGCTGTAATAGGACAAGACCAGTGATTGAACAGTGTGACAGTTGCTAGACAGGATTAAAAGGTGACAGTTTGGGAAGTACAGTCAAATTTTTTCAGAAAATGAAGTGAGAATCAGGAAGACAAGTGAGAAAAGAGCATAGACATAAAGTTTGCTGGTAAGAAAATCTTAATAGTGAATAAAGAAAGATTGCTTAGTAGGGAGTGTTGATTTAGGGAGCATCACTTCCCCAATACAGTACCATCTCTTACTTGTGACAGTTTCTTTCCTTGGTTTGTGAAGGCTGAGATTGGAACCCATTGAAGAGAGTCCTTGCTGATGTAAAGAGTTCACCTAGCCCATAGCCCAGTGTGTTCTAGCTCTCTGCTAAAGTCTTCAGTACTTTTTCTGAATGAGCCGCATGAAATTCAAGAGTTCAGATTTTAATGAAACAAATAGTTGTCAGTTCTTTCCTTCTTACTGTGTGCTGTTAGCACTTTGTTTTGACATCTTTGTACTCACAGACCCTAACTAGAGTCCAGAAGTTCATTCTCCCTGAGGCATTTAGAAAAAGGTATCAACTAAGAAAAGAACCTCTTTTGCTCTTGAGACTATTAGAACTGGAAGCAATAATTTATATCCTTTGGGTAGAGCAGAAATGGTTGTTTATCATCAGATACCACACACTAGCTCTTCACTGTTAAACAAATTAGAAAGTATTTAAATTCCTGGAATTAAAGCATTGCAAGAATTTTTTTAGTAGGTGCCATTTTTATCCCTTACCCAAATGTCTGTTTTGTTCCAGATGGGCTTTCCTTCTAAAACAGACAGTCCTAGCTGTGAATACTCGAGGTTCGATTTTGATAGCGATGAAGACTTCAATGCTTTCTTCAACTGTAAGTATATCGGTGTGAATGTCTTATGGCCCCAGAATCTCTCCAGTGTGTTGAATCCCAATTCCTGAACTGTAGGATTAAAATCACTCTAAATCTAGACAGCAATGTGCTTAACCTCAAATTTTACGTTCTAAAATTGTGGTGGGATTGTATTCATTACAAGTACCAAAAACCACATCATCTCTTTGAACATTTAATAGTAGCAGTGTAATAAAAGCCTTCCCCTACACATGCATACATACGATTACAGGGTTTATTAGGGGAGTTGTTGTTGATATGTGCTGTCAAGTTGGAACTGAATCATAGCTCACCAGCAGGTTTTCTGAGGCTTTTAAGTTGCATGGGAGGAAACTGCACATCTTTCTTTGGTGGAGCAGCTGATGGATTCAAACCTCCTGCCTTTTGAATTGGCTGCACAATTTACCACTAGGCTACCAGAGCTAGGGAGTTACCAATTATCGTCTAATACAGGTGAAGTATCTTTTTTTTGGTATATTCTTTTTTTTTTCTATAATTATATTTTATTA